GCTTAGAGGGTAAAAACCAACCCCACATAGCTAATTCATAGGGGAGTGACTCATGTTGTACTACAAATATCCCCCCAAACCCCCACACCTCAAAACACCCAGAGAATGGCAAACCGATATAAAAGGGTCTTGAAAACATTTTCCAGAGTCTTCCCACAGCCAAGGCTTCAGAGGCTCTTAGTACTTAAAGTACTACTGGAAGTGTTCCATGCAATTCCCTGTGCACAGATCTAAAAATAGCTATGGACACAGTAGTAAGTTTTGCTCTTATTTGCAAGGCCCTTACTTCCCTCTCAGGAGTCACTACTTCCCATTACTGCTGACATTTATTGTTTGGTTTTTTTTAAAAAAAAGGAGCTATTAATCATTAGAAATTCTTTCAACAGTGCAGTGAACATCAATACTAATATTAATAAGAGCACATCAATAATAACAAATTTAATTTGAGACTCTAGTGACGGATCATTAATATATTCTCTATATTAAGAATAACTGCATTAAAACAGATGCCTTTTGTGGCCTCCTTGGATGGCCTTGCTCTTTTCTGTATGATGGAGGACGGGAATCTGTAAACACAAGTCAGAAGCTGCACATGGATAACCCAGCACAGTTGCCTTAACTGCAAACAGGCTTTGGAGTTCAGAATATACGGCCCCCTCAACCCCGAAGAGGCAAAAATATGACTTACGCCACAGGAGAAGTTCAGGAGCTCTTGAAATACACAGTTGCAGGCTACAAAGACTTGGTATTTTGAAAGGAAGCAGTAAAAATCATTCAAATAAAGATGTCATGCTTTGACTAAGAGTAGTTGGGACAAAGATTTAAAAACAAAATCAAAAACCATAATGCATGCTTAAAAAACCTGATAAAACAATGTCAGTTTTGCCTTAAGAACAGCTGAAGCCAGATGACGTCCTTTGCAGATCTGCTCGTTGTAAGCTTAAGCTCTGGCCCAGTGCTGGCATGCAATACGGACCCTATTCTGACTGTGACAAAAGTATCGTCTTGCTTCGACAAGCCCGATTTGTCCCATCTTTACCCACAATGAGATGAAGCATGCTCAGTTGCAAGAAGTCAAAAAAATACCTAACCCTGATTCAGATTGTTTTTTTCTGGACCTGGAATAGAAGTGAATGGCTTCACACATACTTCCACTAGAGACCTGAGAGAAAAAAAAAATAAAAAAAATCACAAAACCAAAACAAAACCAACTACTACTAAAATAGAAACTATATAACCAAATCAACTCCCACCTTGGCCTAAACCTCATTGGTTTCTGATATAAATGGAAACATCATTTACGTGTGCAAAAAAGCTTGCAGGTGCATGGACTTGAGCTCCCAAATAGACCCAAATACTTGTCATTAGGCTCAAACTGAAGAAGCTTCCACCCCTTCCACTGAATCATAACTGAAATCCCATTCTCAGAGAAACCATTCGAAATAGAATTTGTCTCCACCTGCTGGCAGCGAAGAATTAACTCCTAGTTGCCCAAACTACCACGGGCAGCCTCAAAAGAACGAATGTTACAGGACATTGAGACGCGTGATAAACGTATTCCTTTCTAACATACAGCCAGAAAATGGGGTAGGATAATGAGGACGAGTGAGAAGACAGAAGAATGACATACTGATTACAAAGGAATTCCTATTCTAGTAGTTAAAAAACGAGGACAGAGATGTGACAATGTAACCAAACACACAATGAAGCTTTTGTCCCCCAACTACTTGGCTGGTATACAAGGAACAGGAGGAACTTGGGTCGGTGGGGACAGGCTGAGGCGGGGGAAGAGTGAGAGACTGATGGTTGTGAAAAGAAAATTAAATTGGTTAGTCTGCTTTAAGAAAGCCGGTGAAGAAGGGGAAAATAAAAAAAGCAAAGAAGCACCCAGCTATTGTAGAATCCACCCACTCACTTCTGAAATGCTCAAAGACCCAGACAGAGATTTACAGCCAGCGCTACCAGGCGCTGAATATGAAGCAGAAAACACTCAAATGCCCAGAGGCAGCTTCTGTGGTACCAAAGAAGCAGCTTTTGGATTGTACAGGGTTATGGTCAGAGACGTTTTCTTTCAGCAAGTTTGCTACTGCTGACTCAGTCATTAAGTTCAGCCTTACAGACCATAGCAAGACACCTGTACGCTGCAATTTTCAGGTCTAGTCAACCAACCAATACACTTTTTATTTTTAAACAAAGTCACACAGCTTCCTGGAGAAATACAGATTGTTCAAATGCAGACCGATATAATCCTCTGGCTTAGAAGCCAAAGTAATAACAATAACAAAAAAAGCGCTGGTGTTCAGCTGACTGTAAGACCAGCATGAAGAAAATGCAAGTGCTGACCAAAGTTATTACTTCAAACATTGTTGAGAAGCATTCCAGAAAGATCACAGCAATGTAAAGCTTCAAAAATTTTGATGATTATTTAAAAACTACTATAAAGATAATACATCTTTTCTGAACTGAATTTTAACTCAGGCTAAAGAAAACTCCTGCATCAGCACTCCCTTTCTTACTTAGTATAAGTGAGCTGTTAAACGGAGTATGCTTGGTTAAAACTGAATTGAATTTCTCAGAGTCCACTATATCTGGCTTCTACTTATTGATGTAAGTCTAGCAAAAGTTTAAACTAAACGAAGGTATGGATTTATACACATCATATGAAATTATAAATAAGGCATCTCCTTAAACAACCTGTCTTCTTTCAGAAGTTATGCAGGGTTTTTGCTAGTGGTGGTGTTTTGTTTTGTTTATAAACAAAAAGAAATTTTACTGCTGCTAATTCCCATGTACTTCTGTCGCACCTAGAAGCGAGGCACGGAAACTTCTTCAAGTAATTAAGGTCTTAATTTGTTCAGTGATCAATCCAGAAGTAGCATTTGTACCCTTGAGAACAATCTAATACATTTTAAAAAAAACTTCTATGCAGGAAGAGCTTTTTATGTGAAAATGAGGTACCAGACAATCTCCTGGTGATGCAGCCTGCCCAGTGAAATAACAGCACCCGGGATGTTCAAGGTGTTAGTGGCACAGAGGCGTGCAGCGGGACCGAGTTACACCACATCTCTGTAACCCACTGAATCAGTGCACTACTGACAAGTTACCAGTTTGGTGCCTGCAGCGGTTCCAGCTGCCCCAGTAACACTGAACAGGTTACATCAACACCACCCAAAGCCATGCACGATAGAACTGCACCAGAATGTTGAAGAGGACAGCACATTAAATGATCGCTCGCACATGCCTGTATGCTTGGGGTTTTGGGGGCTTTTTAAGTTTTTGGCATTTCCTGTTTAATCCTCAAAGCCAGAGAATGCAGAGGTAGGCCTACTAGTCTTGGAATGCCAGTTATTCAAACTGGACTCCTTTTTTCAAGTTTGATGCAAAATTGCTAACCAGTATATGAATGAACCTCCCACATGATCCCAAGCTGAGTCTCGCCCTAAAACCAAAATCCATGCTTGATCATAGCATCTTCCAGGAAAAAAAATAATTTCTTAACAGGCTGCTGATGCAATTACTGCTTACTATATGGGATTCTCTTAGCAGTTGTCTCATGTTAAATTCAAGTTCCCTGTTGCAAGAATCATCTTTTTAGTCCATGTTTGGAGCAAAGTCTTAGTCTGTGTCTACAGATGCTAGGAATTACGGAACAATTAATCCATCTTCTCTCTCTGCTGCACATCCTCCTCCCCATCCTCAGTGCTGTCACATGGAAACTGTTACATTTTTAGCCTAAGGAAATGAGGTTTATACAATCACGCTGTGACAGTTTCACCTAGCCATTTATTTATTCTTTAGCCATTTAGCAGTCTCAGGATACTTTAGAGACAGATTTCAAAGATATGCAACAAGCCTCAGATAGGCTTGTTATATCTTATTGTTGGAGTCAGATGAGTACCCAAGGGCTGCAACATGAGTTTAACTACAATATTAGACACTAGAGAACCCTGTACAGGAGCAACATGAGGAAATAAACACCAAGAATTTCACTACTAAATTTCTCTGGCTTTCTTTTAGCTATACTGAGCTTCTTTGTAAGAGTAGATGTTTCTATCATCTACCTAACTCCTCTAATCAAACGCTGTTAACATTCAGTCATGAAGAATTTCACCTTTAACTCTTTTTTTTTTTTTAATGAAGAAAAACTGAATACGGTTTGGGGACAGAACACCCAAACGAAAGATTTTTACCTGCAGATTGACGCATAATTAATATGTTAAAAAACATGAAGATATATTTATTAGAACAATCAGGAAATCATCTCATATACTTTTTCAAGGACTAGTAACTGCAGTACTAGGTTGCACAGGTCAGTATCTTGTTTCACTGAACAGGGAACAAGAAAAATAATAAAAAAATATCACCGCCATCTAGTATGTGGGAAGAAAAAAAAAAGTGGATTATGAACAGCTGTCAGAAACATACTCCATACCAGAAGTGCAGCTATTTTGGCACAAGAGCATGAAAAAGCCTAATAACAAGAAAGCAAGGAAGATAGCACATTTTTACGCTCACTGTCATCTTTCAATTGCTTATCCAAGTTTCGCTTGCAGACGTCAGGATGAAAAGAAACAGTCAAATAGCAGCAGCCGGAACGGGTGTTGCATCCACTTCAAAAGATCTGCACGCAGGAATAGTTTGCCAGTATCAATATAGTGCAAGCTGGCAGGACTGGAAAGTTACAAATTAAGTGTGCCTTCATCAGTGACCTACTATGAACAGACCTACTGAGCTGCTAAAATATTTTTAGTTCAACCAATTCCTGCCTTTTTTGGTTCCTCTTGCTCTTCCAGTTTATCCAGTCATGTGCACTTTTCCACTCCCTCTTACTGCCATGTAGTTTTTCAAGTTTGGCTCCAATTACCACTTGTTTCTGCCGCTGAAGCGCTCAGATTTACAGCTTTACTACAAACGGCTTGTACGACAGCTAAGTCTTGCACGTAGCAAGCAATCCGTCTTGGGAACTTTTTTCCTCCCACCACGAAGACGGACGTACTCACCAGCTGATACTCGCTCCGACGGCTGAAGGCTTCCTTGATTCCCGAATCCCTCCACAGCGCGCCCAGCGCAGGTACGTACAGCTGGAAGGTGGCAGGCTCTATGGGCATCCCAGCTTTGTTTTCAAAAGCCATCAAAAACATTCCATGCTTCTCATTCTCGGTATACTGCCAGGGGATCCCCAGTTTGTCCCGTGCATCAACCAGAACCCTGCAGCCCTAAAGAATGATTCAGATAAGAAAGTCAGTGAAAAAAAGATTAACGTGCAAAAAAGAATACGGATTTAGAGGTACTTGAAACTTTTTTTTTCTTTACACTGTTCTAGTGAGACTGAATTCAGGATACAATCATAAACATTGTTTATTGCAACATCTCCAACAGAAATAAGATAGAGCTTGCTTGTGTAAGCAACTTAGCCACAATATATCTCTCCGGGTGGGAAAATACACAAGGAGCAGCAGCTAGCTGCAACAAGCAATAGCACCGACAGATAATAAAAGCAAACATCAAATGTCTAAGAGCAGTGCTTGGGAGCTAATGTATGATTCTCAGAGCTGTAGTTTTAAAAAGTAACACCATGCCTGAAAACATATTCTTCCATCTTTTCCTTTGCATTTGGGTTTTAGATACAAGAAAGGATATGCCAGCTTATTCGAACATTAGGAAATCAGAAGGTGGTTAAAAAAATGTTGAAAGAACATATTGTATATTCTGGTGAGGCAAAGTATATTGAGCATCCAAAACTGAGGAAATTCAGTAACTTCCAGTTCTGTATGCATCCACCCACTAGTTAAACATTTAGGTAAAAAAAGATTGCAATACCAAACTAGCAAGATGCAAAAAGCGTGCAGCGGTAAAGCACAATTTTGACACAATCTACTTGAATGCTATGTAACACAGCTATCTAACTTGACAGACTTCTTGAAAATTTGCTGTAAATGAGCATCTTCTCTTGAGAGACTTTCATCCAAGCGGTTACCTCCAGGAGGAAAGCCCAGCAGCAAGAGGACCAAAGACATTATATAAATGTTGAGCTACTAGGCTCAGTAAAGCAGGTGCAGTTTTCTATCAGCATCAGCTTACTTTCTGAATTTGCCACACATTTGCTAAGAGTGACAGGTAAAGGTGGGTACTCTAATTGTGGAAAAAAGACTGGAGGGAGAGTGATCTAGTTCTCACATTTAACTCAGGATTACCTGGACTGCTTAGTTTCACATTTTACAATTTTATGGAAACTTAATTTCATATTCATGGCAACAAGTCAAACGTAAGAGGTTAATGAGCTCTAAAAATTCAGTCTTAAACCTAACTACAGCTATACTAAATAGCTTCACATGGCCAATAGATTATTTCTCAATAATAAGCACCATTTTAATAACGCACAGATCTGTTAATGGTGGCTTAGCATCTCAAGTATCACCCAGTTATCAACAAGTAATATCTGTGGGTTATATTAAACTACTTTACTCACGGTGTTGATCCTTTCATTTTACAGCTTATTAAAACAAATAAACCAAAATAGAAGTTCTGTTTCGACTGCTGTTCACACGAATCTCCACATTATTGGTCTTGATTTTTTTTTTCCATAGTGTAAGCTATCAGGACTGCACATATGTTCTCTTAGCACTTGAACCTTTCACCTTTCCAGTCCTTTAACAGCTCCACACTACAAGAAGAGTAACTTGCCCAATGGAAATTAAGATTGGAGAGGGAAGTGAGAAGTAACTTAGTGTGAGTGTCACAGAATAAGAACTCAAAGTGAAGCATCGCAGTTGTCACTATGCAACAGTGCTCCTGAAGTGCACTTTCCCAAAAATGTAAATATTTATAAATCTCCAGTGATCCTTACTTTCTTTTTATAAAAGTAGAGAATATATCTCCACAAACCATGAAAAGACTAAAACCGAAGATATTTACAAACTGCTGCTTTAAATTCCAGACATAACTATTTAGTAACTCTGTCATACAGACCAATGCCAATCCTCAATCCTAGTTAACAGAAGCCTTTAGATCTGTGTTATTTGAACAGTGTTAACAAATGTAACATGAACTAAAATAACAACAACACACTTACAAGGTTCTGTTTCTGAGTTGCCTGCACAAAGCCTCTCGACCTCAGATACTTCTGCAAAGCCCCCGCTTGCAGAGCGCTCCATCCCGGCCACAGTACAAAGCTGGTGTCAGCTCTCCCCTACTCCCAGCCAAGAACGTCAGGATTAATTTTTTCCAAAGCAACAGGGGTAATCGAGCCTGGTGGGACACCACTATTTCTAGGTATTTAATGCCAGGTTTGTTTCTGACAGCGAGGAGTGTTTATGAACAGAAATGGTTAAGGCCGGCCATCGCCATCTCCCCAGCCCACACAGCCCAGCTCTGACCTTTCACCCGCTTGGGCTCCAGCTCTGGCTTTTCTATCGTCCAGCTTTCGGACCCGTTTAACCCTTGCCCAGCTCGCTGCCACCACTGACCCTTCCGAGGAGCCGCAGGATCCCACAGCTGCGGCAGCGGGACCTCGGGCTTGGTGCTTCCCCCAGTCCCTCACTCTGCTTCTCCTCCTCCCACTGGAGACCTGGAGGATCTCCAGAGACCGCAGTGAACGGAAGTTTGATCATTGCTTCGGAGAAAATCACAGAACTGAGTTTCAATCAAGGGTGCAGAGACTGTTCCAGTCCCAGAACAGTCACTTATCTGCTGGCTGCTGCTCCTTGGAAACGCAGGTTTGGATCTCCCTGGCGTAAGAGCAGGAACTCAACTTGGACCTCGTGGGCCTTACCTGAGCGAATTAACCACTGTTGGGTCACCCACGGGCAGCGCGTAGCACCAGCACCTTCCTCTGCTGTAGAGAGGAAGGCTGTCACCAAACCACAAGCAGAGCCCAAAGGGGGACAAAGCGCCAGGATCAGATGGAGCGACATGAGCATCCGTACTGACAAAACACGGACGGTAAATTTTAAATGCTGAATGAAGGACATCAAAAGTAGGAAACGGGTTAGCAGGAACGGTGTGCTATGATGTCCTACGCCCTTCCACAGCACTTCTCCGAAACATCAGAATTCGTAAAACACACCAGCTTTGAGACATACACCTAAACTTTCAGGAATAAAAGCTTTACATAATGAGCAAACCAGACTCTGTTTCTTCCCCCCCTCAGCTCTTAGCGGTTGGAAGTATTTGTGACTCAGCAAGATCCCCAGTAAAGTGACTCTAAACTTAACATTTCTCCATCTCCGCAAAACAGTTCTATAAATGCTACAAGCAGATGTCAAAGATGAGGAGAAACAGAAACCGCCAAATTTAGATCCCACGTATTGCTATTCTCGCATTTCAGAGTTCCTGGTAACAGTATTTTTTGCAGCCACGATGAGCATTTGATAATCCTCGCCCCATTACCCCACAGAACAAGTTACCATAGGAAAGGTTCCCCCTTTCTGGGGACAAGCTCAAAACACTTCCCATACCTCCCTCCTCCAAAAAGCCCAGCATGGGAAGTAGCCTCAGAGTCACTTTTATCTGTAAGTAAAACTGCTTAAAAGTTTACATGTATTGTTCATGCTCAGAGGTAAATATTTAATTTAGAAGATTAAATTTAATGGAAATCCATAGAATTTCCATTTATTATAGAACGAACAGAATAATGTATTAAAAAACGAAGTGTATTTATCAAAACTGAATTTGGACTCAGACACCAATGGTATAACTAAGGAAAAACCCACCAAGCCTAATTGCACATACAAGACTCCCTCCTGAGTTCTAACAACAAAAATAACAGACTATTTTCCTTGCAGTGCTCATTTCACAGTAAATTTTCCCAATGCTGCTATGAAAGCTTCTTATTCTCTACTACTATAGAAAATGTCAGTTCAGTCTTTCATTCAGAAGACTGAACACTGTCAATTACTGTTCTGTTTTCAAACGTGGAATATGGGAAAAAAATAATGTGGCAACAACTTTCGATATGAAATAAAACTTCTGAACAGTTCAACTGATCTAAAGCTTTTGTGCTGCTGCCAAAGCAGGACCCGGAATAAGCACAAGTGAAAAGAATTAAAATTCACAGATAAGGACAGTGTCAGGCATTAGAGAATGGCAAAACAGCAGCACACTGGAAACACCAACTATGGAGGAAAAATAGGAAGTTCTCAGCTTCATTCCTTTACTAAGATTTTTTAACATATTTGAGTCCCTGTATAAATCCCTGGTTTGCACAAAACCTGAATGGAGGTAGGGTAGAACAAGAAACGGTGTAACAAGAGTGTGGCATGTAATCTAACTCATGAAGTATCAATCTTGCACAGAAAACACTAAAGATGTAGAAATCTACAGCTTTGAGGGAGAAGAAAGATAACTAAGACATGATATATCAGAAATCTAGAGAAATTACAAGCCTCTTGGAGAAAGGGAGTAGGAAAAGACTATTCTCTTCCCACCCCTTGCTATGCATGTACAAATAGTACAGCAACACAGCCATCAAACAGATAATTAAACTCAAAGAAAGGTTCCCCCTATACACCCCCCAGTGAGACAAACTTATTTACATACAATGTCGGCCAAAAGCATAAATGCACTCAAAAAGCAATCAAGACAAATTGATGGAAGAACGGTCCAAGAAGGACTATTTGATTACGTTCCAGACGCAACTCCTGGCTCAAGAAACCCAAAGGCTGCCAGTAACTGGGAAAGTACACCCAAGTATCACATCGCTCCGTTCCTGTACCCGTTTTTGGTTGTGGAGTTTTTTCATGTCACAGACAAAACTCTAGATGCTTGGCCTGATGGAGCACAGCTGTCAGGCACTTAGCAGAATGCTCACTACTCACCACCAGTAGGAAGGTCTTACGAGCATTTGTACAAATGCTCATTACTAGGACTAGCTAAAATATATATTTTCTCTTCTACTTTTGAAAATGTTATTAGCTTGTCTTGTACTTTTAAATAATAATTACATTATTCTGTGCGATATATTGGAAAGGTTATCACCAGCTAATGTCATTTGAAGCTAGTGATGCTTGCCAATACATGAAAGCAAGTGTTGTAGTATTTAAAGAGCAGCTTAAGAGCATCTCGCATCAGTAGTTACACTACTACATAAACCACAACATTGACATTTGAAATTAATCACATACTCCAGTACTTTAAGGATTCTTTACCCTTAAAACCTTACATTTTTTGCCGGATAGACCAACTCAGGGGATCTGTGAACACACTGTTTTGGTTAAGCCCCAAACACACAATGGAAAAAATAGCTTGGGGGGGGCACTGGCTCATAAGCAAGGGCAGGTTCTTCCATGCACAAACCAGCAGTGAAGCCATCAAAATATTTGATTATTCTAGTCAAGTGTCTAGAGAGAACTTGCAAAACTACTTAGGGTTTGTATACAAATAGAAAAGTGTCCTACAATGCATTTTCTCAAAATAAAGGAACTACCACTGGGTATGAGATCACAGACAACAGTCACTGCTACACTTTAAATACTCCAGCAGCTACTTTTAAGCTTTTACCATTAATACACTGTTCAGCCTCATAGGAAAGCACTAAATCTCAGCATCTGTACATCACTCACGGAAACCACTGTGCGAGAACTGCCAATCCCTGCTGAATACTCAATCAGGGGACTCCAAGCCCCAACTAACAGGCAACACTGTCTTCTCCTACAGCTGAAAACCAACATGAAGGTTGCAGGCAACAGGGAGATGCAAACATGTTTCCTACTGTGTGCTCTTCCTCCTTGCTGGCAAGGAACTGGCAAAGTCTGGGGAATCCCAATTCACAGAGACCAGTATAAACCTGAGATAACGCCACAAGGAGTGTTCCCACCTTGACGTGGTATTTCTAATACGCCCTTGATGCGCGTGGAAGAGCACAAAGTGATGCAGCTGCATGAACACAGGTCCAGCTAGACCGGCAAGTCTGCAACAAACTGGAAGTGCTCCCTGGTCACCGGTGCCAAAGCAAGAGAAAGCAAGCTGAATCACGCAGCCATAGATGGGACTGGACTTGCCAGCAGCAACACTTACTGGCACGTAAAGAAAGAAGATAAAATGTAACCTAGGTATATTTTTAGAAAATGTCTCTTAACCTTCTAAAAAAAGACATTTTCAGATGCAACATTTAAAAATAAAGTCATCAGTACTTGCAAATACATTTGGATGCACCTTTTTAAAATTGCCACCTGGAACAACGGGAAGGTGATGATCTGCTACTAACAAAGTAATAGCAAGGCAATATGGTTTTTACAGCACGCTATCGTAAAAGCATTAATGGTGCTTTTATATGATCTATGGCCTTGAAACATTATAGCCAAGCAGCAGCCAAGACGCCAATGTCACCGAGGGTAAGGTTTCGTATTACAGAGCAGCCAGCGGAACAACAACTAGGTACCCGCGAAAGGGTCATCTCCTCTGCTCGTGTAGCTCCACTCTCTCCTGCCTGATAGGTTTGTCATTCATCGGAGCCCACATCCCAATCCAGTGAGCAAACACCACCAAAAACCCAGGCATTTATACAAATAAGTGGTTTCCACTACCTATATTAGTTTGCTGTGAGACAAACACAAGAGCAGGGGTGGGAGTAGCACCAGTTAGCCCAGTTAGACAACGAAAAGGCTCACCAGTTATACACGTATTTTCACCATTCACATATTCCAGTACCACCCAGGTGAGAGCAGGGTAAACAGTAAAGATGACCTACCTTCCAGCCCAACATACAAATAAAAAAAGGGAACAAAGGGGAAGTGTCATTTACTTAGTCCACAGGAACACAAACATTAAGAAACATTTGGATTAGCCACTGAATCTCTGAATTGGGAGCAGCAGTGATGTCTGCTTGTCTGGAAACTCTGAAAAGAGTCCTTGTGTTTGACCAAATGCAGCAAAATGATGATAAATGCAGCAGAATAAAAATACTCTCACTGCAAGATTTACTTGCAACTCGGCACAACGCAGAGAGACGACGACAACCGTGGTGACAATGGTGCAGGACATTAAAAAAAGTTAGTACTTTCAGAATTACGTTACCAGGTTTTTCCTTTTCCCGAGACCATCAAAATAATATCTAGTTCATAATCAGCTCACGCTTTCAATGGAACATATGTAGCATTTGCAGCTGTGATAAATACCCACTGCTGCAGCACCCAGCAGACGTGCTAGGACAGGAGGGAAAGGAAGAGAGAGAAGAGCCTTCTCACTAGGATAAGACAAGCTCCTGTGGAAACTCTACAGCTTCCGATTCCTTCTAGCTTTTTCTCTTGTCATAATTTGTCTTGAACTTACTTTTTCAAACTTGCACCCGTTGGCTCCAAAGTTTTCTTGTAAACACTGTTAGTAGCATGATGCGCCCATTTCTTTGCCAGTATAGTTTCCAAGTTAATTATGAAAATATACATATACTCAACCAACTGAATATAATGTCAGCTCCCAAATTTAGTCACTCAAGTGACTAAACTTTTGTCTGGAAAACATCAAAGTATGTGTCTACAATCTCCAGGGACTAACTCATGCTCTGCAATACTAATTACTACATCACAAGAGCATTGGAAGCTCTGTTCTGGAGCAACAATGGATATTTATCACTTACTGTTGACCATTACTTCTCTTCTGCTGTCCACCATAATGAAGATTACTCTCTCCTACCCCAATCAAGAGACACCCTAAATACAAAGAGACCACCTGACCTGACAGAATTTGCATTTAAGACACAGAAAACACATGAACTAGGAGTTTTATTGATTAAATAAGTCTGGAAAAGGAAGACCAACAAGATTCATAAGTTGTTGGTTTTTTTCTACATGATTTTGTGAATATTTTTCATAATCAAACAACTACTACATAGCAAATGCACAAACCAAAGATAATCAGATTTAAATACCAGTTCTAGCACAGAACTTCAGCACTCGTATGTTAAATTTAATGGAAAAACTCCTAA